AATCTAGTGATTGATGTCATGAGCATCGATCCACGCGATTGGGATACGATGACATGCATCAGCCAAGTCAGCGAGCCTGACCACAAGCATAGTCGCCTTTTACGACAAGTATGGGTTGCTGAAGACGTATTCTTACCCGAATCTTCACGGGTCTTAGACGACTGAATCATCCGCACTCCCTGCTGGAAGTCTAAAGCCTATCTCACATCTAGAAATTGGTCTATTCATGCAGTAAGTATAACTTGATATTACATACATTTGTATAACCACCCATTTTGTGTTGTGTATAATTCTGTGCATAACGGAGAATACCATTGAAGAAAGACAAGTTCTATGGATGAACAACTTCTTTATTACAATCAGTGAGGACAAGTTCTATGGATGAACAACTTCTTTATTACAATTAGTACAATTGTTCATCCATAGAACTTGTCTTTCTTCATCACACCAACTTCTAAATGCCACTGAAAGAAGGAGAATACCATTGCTAGTGCAATCGTTTGTTTTAATACATGTCCGGATAAACGAGTCATTGGTGCAGAGTGATGTTGTAGTGAGTGAGTTGGGGGAACCGTTTTTAACAGCATTCCAGTTATATCGCGGCGTGTCAGCTTGATGTGGGAGGAAAGCCTGAAGTGGTGCAGGTCTCAGACGTTTACCACTTCGGTTAAACCCACGAGCATGGTATGGTGCTGACAAACCTAGAAACATAATCGGGGCGAACCGGGATTCGAACCCACAATCATAGGTTTCTGACGTGCCCAAGGGACGCAACTCTGCACGGCGAGTCGCGGCGCCTTAGACGACGCCACCCGCGCCCCAAGTTATGTTGTAAATACAGATAATCGCTCCTATCAATATCGTTCGATTAGCGAGGTTTCCGAACAACCTAGTTTCTTGTTTGTTTGTCTCCACACACTATTAACACCAAACGGGCGGTCGGTTAGCCTAGTGGTTAAAGCGTTCGTTCATCACGCCGAAGACACGAGTTCGATCCCCGACATGGGTACGATGTGTGAAGCTCATTACTGGTGTCCCCCGCCGTGATATTGCTGGAATATTGCCAAAAGCGGCGTAAAACCATACTCACTCACTTTAACACCAAACTCAACAACATTCGAGCTTCTTTCCGGTGTAGTCATGTGTTATGTTTCTTTAAAGTATTTTTTTATATTGTTCTGTATTTTGTTGTTTGTTCGTCTGTGTTTCGTTGTTGTTTGGGGGTTATTGTTGTTGTTGTTGTGCCCGCGTGCGTATAACGCGTGTTACATTCATGTACCTTTTAGTGTATTTGTGTAGACGGATTGATGGGATCATGGCCGGGTCATGCGTCGAGATGGATATGTCACTCGGGCCTAGTTTATATGGTTAATAACTACAGAGAACACCGTCAGTAAATGTTGAGTTATTTATATAGTTGGAAGCTATCTGTCAGTCCCTTGTGATGATTCATCTGAGGTGTTATTGGAGTCAGACAGCACGGAGCACGCAACGCTGAGCAGCAATACTGCAGCTATATTACGAGTGCCTGCAGATAATGGTGCCGAGACTGCATGAACAGTTCAAACACCGTGACAAGATGACACAGCAGACACGTAGATTACGCATTGAAACCACGTGACAGGCATAAAAACCCGTGGTGGTTCCGGGTTGAAATGGACCGCTTCCGTGTTCTAGTGGTAGAGCGTCCGCCCGGAGAGCCGCAGGTTCGGGGTTCGGCCATGCACGTCATACCAAGACGTTAAAAGATGGTACTTGTTGTTACCCTGCCTGGCGCTCGGCATTAATGGGCTAAAACAAGGACTGGTCCTATCGGAGTCAGTATAGTGTGTCTGAGCGGGGTATTCATGTCAAACTGCGGCATGGTATCTCTGTGGTATATCAGTGAGCTGGCACTATAAAAAAATGCATTCGTCCGGACTAGTACAAGCAGCTACACACACACGCTGATGCCAATATTTCAATGCTGAAATATATATTTATCGAGAGACAAATCGATAAATTATCTAGCCCAAAGCTTATGAGTGAGTATGATTTTACGCCGCTTTTAGCAATATTCAAGCAATATCACGGCAGGGGACACCAGAAATGGGCTTCACACAATGTACCCATGTTGGTTATCGAACCCGGGTCTTCGGCGTGACGAGCAAACGCTTTGACCACTAGGCTACCAAACCAAGGATCACACGCGGGGAGAATCTGCAATTCGAACCCAGCGGATCCTTTTGGAATAACAAGGGACAAAACTCTTTAGAAACTAACTTGTATACAGTTTACTGTTTTACGTATTAGATCATGGCTCCCTTGTCTTTCATCGTACATAAACTAACTGAATTTTTGTTAACACGACTAGGCAATGACGGAACTTCTTTTTGTTCATTTAATTTAACTTCATAATTGAACAATTTTACGAAATACGTGTACCACCAGCGTATATCGAACCAGCGAACTCCGTTCCGAAAGCTAACGAATGTGCGTTTCTTAAGCTGAGTCGCCAAAGAACAGTGTTCGAAATACCTGCCTGCCCGACCGTCCGAGACGGGTTGATTTCAACTCGGGCTGCCAGATTTTCAAATCCCCCTGCCCGACGGTCGGGTTATATTTCATATGTGAAAATATTCAAAATATTTCCCGATGATAAGCATTAATTCACATGTAAAGATGAATGATAAAATGTAACCAAAAAGAAACCCCGTTAGCTTATCCTGAGAAACATATGATTATAGTGGGCAGGCAGGTTTTGGTCAGGGCGGGCAAGTATTTCAGCTAGCCAGTCCTGTGGTCTGGCTGAAATCTTTGGGAGTTTCATACCCTGTTTCAAAGAACGAGAAGCACGTCCCAAAGGTACTAGGAACAAATTTCACGTGCATCACGCAGAGGCGACTCGCACAGTCTTCCCACCTTTTAATACAGAGTTCCACAATATCTGTTTCTTTTATAAATAAGGTTATCAAAAAAATGTTGTTTTAACATTTTGGGTGTTAGGGTTCTTTGAATGAATGTCAGCCATGTTTAAATAGGTTAGGCCACGCGGCGCCGATGTTTAATCGCTGAAATGGTTAGTTAAACACCCCAGCGCCCCTTTTCTCGGGGTTTAATTGACCATTTTTAACGATTAAACATCGGATACCAGCTTCCAACTTATACTTACAGTTGTTACAGAAGCGGGAGTTCTTGAAAACAAAGCAGTCCCTGTTACATCGTCTACTATCATTCTAATGATGAACATGATGACAAAGAGTGAGTGAGTTTGGTTTAACGCCGCTTTTAACGGTATTCAGGTTACATCGCGGCGTGTCAGCTTAATGGTGGAAAAGCCCGTGTGATGCAGGTCTCAGACGTTTACCACTTCGATGAAACCCACGAGCACAGGTATGGTGCTGACAAACCTAGAAACATAATCGAGGCTAACCGGGATTCGAACCCACAATCACAGGTTTCTGACGTGCCCAGGGGACGCAACTCTGCACAGCGAATCGCGGCGCCACCCGTGCCCCCCAATATACAAAGTTGAAATAAAGGTCAAAGTATGCAATGTAATAGTGAAATGTTACGAAAAGACGTCATGTGAAAAGAAAGAACAATGTGTACTAAAGAACGACGAGCCATTTTTTCTATCGACTGTACAACGTTATACAAATACATACATACATGTTTTACGCGACAGACAGCAATGTACCACCAAGGTTGACCTGCAACGAGCCTGGGGGAGACAAACCAGTGGTCGACAGCGTGATCAATGACGACGTCTTCGTGATCACATGGGCATTTTGACCTCTAGGCCTCATTTTAGTAGACCGCCTCCGTGGTCAGGTAGAGCGTCTGTTTGGCAAGCCGTTTTCACATTTATTACTTGAGTTACCGTTATCTCCAGTTGTTTTAAAGATATCTTGAATCATATTGAAGATATTTTGAATTGAATTGAAGAGATCGTGATTTCCATTGTAGACATCTTGAATGGGGAAGATATCTTAAATGCAGATAATTGAAGATATCTGCAATAATATTTAAGATATCACGAAATGAATTAAGGATATCGTAAAGCTTATTGCTGATATCATGAAAAGAAATGCTGATATCTTAAATTCGATTAATGATATCTGAGACTAGTTCCTGCACAAGTTGGGCATGGTTTGCCGCCATTTTGGAACCGGAAGAATTTACAAATAGGTAGCCAGACAGGAAGTATTTGAAGATATCTGTAAAACCCGCACTTTTCATGTTATATTACAGATATCAACAACTGATATAAAGATATCTTCAAAATTACTAATGTTATCGTAAATTTGAATTTTTATATCAGAAACGGTCATAATTAACGAAATGTTGAATTTAATTAAAAATATCTCTATTTAATTAAAGATATATGTATTGCATTTGTGATTGATTGGTTGATCATATTTTTGGATATGTATAACTTATTTCAAGATATCTTGAATTTATTTCTAATATGATTATGTACAGTAGGATGGTAATTGTTTAATGATATCTTAAATACATTTAAATGCATTATTACGAAATATTTTGTTGATCAGTAAATGTATTTTGGAATCAGAAATTCATTCAAGATATCTTTCATTATTTTTTTTTAATCTTTCGATAGAATACCGATATCTTTAAAACAATTGAAGATATCAGTAATTTCGTAATAAACGCGAAAGCGGCTTGCCATACGTCCGCCCTGAGAGCGGAAGGTCGGGGGTTCGATCCCCGGCCGCGCCTGTCCATCATCATACATGAGGTATAATTGGCATAAGTAGTGCGACCTGAGGTCATCACCATGCAGTAGCCAATCAGCTGTTTCAGTTTTCTTCACCAAAATGAGATTTACAGTATTTTTCGTGGTCTGTTCAAGGTAGGTCAAATATCAAACCTGACTTAAACCACCTGTTAGATTCAGCTTAATCGGGTTATTTCAAACAATGCAATTCGACTTTTCACGAGTAAAACCAATCGAACTTTATTGTGACGTCATAGACATGTGACGTCACAAATCGTCAGTCTCATCGACAGAAGCGGGCGTCTTTGCTATCTGAGGACGTGTCTCTGTAGATATGGCGAGCTTACTTCACCTGAAAACCTTCTCCAACTGTTCCATGAACTTGGCCTTCGGTAAGAAATTCATGTATAAAGAATTGGACATAAAACCAAGTTGATATCTTACATTTTCAGTTTTCACGCTGCATCCTGTTCTTAGCGACTGTAGATGGTGGATTAGCTTAATGGTTTATGCATTTTGTCACACCGAAGACCCGGTTCGATTCCCCAAATGGGAAGAAATTCTTCGTGTCTCCGCCGTGATATTGATGAAATATTGTTTGAAGGGGCGTAAAATCCTACTCGTTCACCCTTGGCAGCTAGAATTTTGCTCTATGTGGACCAAGGGTAAAATCAAGTTAAAACTGTGGGAGATACTCTGAAAATGCATGCAGTTGCTGAGATTTATCAACTCTTTCTTTCCCCGACTGCAGTTTATTATGTCTTGTCATCATACATTGTGCATCCTCCTGTATTGTGGCGCTTTTGTAATAACTGACCCAAAAAACGTGAAGATCCGGGGTAGAATAGGTCTTTAGCAAACCATGCTTGACGTAAAAGGCGACTATGCTTGTCGCAAGAGGCGACTAACGGGTTCGGGTGGTCAGGCTCACTGACTTGGTTGATGCATGTCATCGTATCTCGATGATCGATGCTCGTGATGTCAGTTACTGGATTGTCTGGTCCAGACTGATTATTTACAGACAGCCGTCATAGGTTTAATATTGCTGAGTGCGGCTTTAAACAATAAATAAACAAACAAACAAACTTAAGATATGATGTGAGTGGATTCTTTCCATGTCTATGAATGAAAGAATCCCACAAATATTTAGCTCATCTACCACTCAGATAAGTGTTTATCATTGCTAAAGAAAATCAAAATCATCATTGGCTAACACATGGTGTTGATATTTGTCTACGGTAATAAGTTTGTTTGTAGGTCCCTACTGACCTTCCCATATCATTGTTTAGTAACACCAAAATGTGGCGCCCACTCCCACCCCATTGCATGTGGTATGATATCAACTCTTGTATGTCCCCCCACCATCCATGTGGTATGACATCAAAGCTTGTCTCTCCCCCCACCATCCATGTGGTATGACATCAACTCGTGTCTCCCCCCCCCCCCCCCCCCCCCCCCAAACATCTATATCTATGTGGTATGACATCAACTCTTGTCTCTCCCTCCACCATCCATGTGGTATGACATCAACTCTTACTACCTATACCCCTTCCCCACCCCCACCTCTAATTTCCCACTCCATGCCAACAGTATTATATGACATCCATTTCTCCCTCCTCTCCTTCATTCACATGGTATAAAATCCAGCTAATAGATTTATTCTTTCTCTCCCTTGGTCCTCCAGCAAGTTCTTCTGCATCCATCTCAGGGCCACACAATGCTGCTGCTGAACTTTGGAGAGAACATCTCCAGACATCTGACACGGCCAGGACCAGTGCCACCCCCAACACCACGTACAACACACGGGGGTCGGCTGCCGACATCGGAACGTCAACCGGTGCCGGGTCCCAACCAACTGCTCCCACAGATCCACCAACACTCGTTGGTCAAACCATCAATGGCTACTACTTCGAGGGGGTCATCGAGTTGGGTGGGTGTGCTAGGGTATACAGGGTGAGGAAGGACGGGGTTCTTTACGCCGCCAAGGTCTCCCTACACACGGCCACTGATGACAGCTTCGCAGTTCGCACCTGGGTTAACGAGTATGCAGTTTTAAGATCCATTGATCATGAAAACATCATTAAGGCATACGACCTGTTCCGGTACAATATGAAGATGTTCATGATCATGGAGTACTTTGAGGGATATGACATGGTATATTTTATCAGCAAATTCAGTGTGAAATGGAGACAGGAGAACCTGAAGCCGATTGCCAAGCAGATTATGGCAGGTTTAAATCACTTGCACAACAACAACATCGTGCACAGGGACATCAAGCCAGAAAACATCCTGATCGGATCTGGGAATGAGGTGAAAATAATCGACTTCGGCGGAGCGATACGACTGGAGCAGCAGCAAACGCCTGAGGATAGGCACGTGACATGCTCCACGTCCTACTTCGCCCCACCGGAAATGCACAGAGGAGATGTCCGTGCCACCTCTAACGCTTGGATAAAATCCTTCGACATGTGGAGCACTGGTGTCACTCTTTATACGGCCTTAGCTGGGCAGTACCCGTTTCCTTTGGGGTCGGATCGAAAGATAACATCTTCCGTTTTTGACCAGGGGCCAGACTTTGGTGTACTAGGACAAATAGACACCAAACTTCTATCCCTTATGAAAAGGTGCCTGGACACCAACCCTGAAAGGCGCATCACGGCCAAGCGTGCCATGCACCACAGGTACTTCTGGAGAGGGGCTCTGGATGTCATTTCGTATGCTTTGTTTCAGTGTTTTGGGAAATAGGTTTATAGTTACAGAAACGATTAGCCCAGATACCTTTATATCCCAGGATCCGCTGGTCGTGGGTTCAAATCCCAGACAGGCCCCGATTATGATCCTTGGTCTGTCAGCACCATGTCCGTGTGAGACGGGTTCTACCAAAGTGGTGAACGTCTGTGACCAGCGTCACATTGGGTTTCCTCTCACATCAAGCTGACGCGCCGTCATGTAACTGAAATACTGTTTAGTGGCGTTAAATTAACCGACCAGCCCACTCACTCCTTCCTTCATATCCGGGGTCCTCGTAAAGATTCGGTAAGGACTGGTCACCTAGGCGCGCCAGAAACCTGTGATGATGAGGTTTGAAATCCCTGTTCGCCCTGATGGTGTTTCTAGGTTTGTCAGCACCATACCCGTGTTCGTGCGATTCACCAAAGTGGTAAACGTCTTAGAGGTGCATCACTTCGGGCTTTCCTCCACATCAAGCTGACACGCCGTGATATAACTGGAATAATGTTTAAAACGGTGTTCATCACTCATTCCTTCATATCCTGGACCTGTGAAGATGTCCAACCTGGCTTGGTCTGTCATCGGTCTGCTTGGCAATAGGTGCATCGTCACGCATATTTACCAACACTTACAACCTTACCTATACTGGTCAAAATAGACCCTGTGAAGCACAAAGACGTGTGTAATTCTCTTCTGTGGCTTCACAAAGATGTGTATAATCCTATACTGGTGAAAATGGACACTGTGGTAGCAAACCAATGTTTGTAAATCTTCTACAATTGGAACTGGACACGGTGTAGCATAAATGTGTGTGCAGTCCTCTTCAGGTGAAAACGGACACTGTGTTAGCACAAGGGTATGAAAATAGGTGCTGTGTGAGCACAAAGGTGTGTGTAATCTTCTACTGGTGAAACTGAACATTGTGTTGCATGAAGGTGTGTGTAATCCTCTACTGGCGAAAATGGACACTGTGGTAGCACGAAGGTGTGTGTAATCCTCTACTAGTGAAAACGGACACTGTGTTCACAAAGGTGTGTGTAATCCTCTACTGGTGAAAACAGACACTGTGGTAGCACAGAGGTGTGTGTAATTCTCTACTGGTGGAAACAGACACTGTGGTAGTACGAAGGTGTGTGTAATCCTCTACTGGTGAAAACGGACACTGTGGTAGCACGAAGGTGTGTGTAATCCTCTACTGGTGAAAGTGGAAACTGTGGTAGTACAAAGGTGTGTGTAATCCTCTACTGGTGAAAGTGGATACTGTGATAGCACGAAGGTGTGTTATCCTCTACTGGTGAAAACGGACACTGCGTTCAGAAGGGTGTGTGTAATCCTCTACTGGTGGAAACGGACACTGTGTTCACAAAGGTGTGTGTAATCCTCTACTGGTGAAACTGAACATTGTGTTGCACGAATGTGTGTTATCCTATACTGGTGAAAATGGACACTGTGATAGCACAAAGGTGTATTATCCTCTTCTAGTGACTTTGGACACGGTGTTGCAGAACGTCGTGTGTAATCTACTGGTGCTTATCGACACCGTGGTAGCAAACCGATATTTGTAAATCATCTACAAATGAAACTGGACACTGTGGAAGCACAAAGACATGTGTAAACCTCTATTTGTGAAAATAGACACTGGGGTAGCACAAAATCTAAGGTGTGTGTAAATCCTGTACCTGTTAAAACGGACACTATGGTTGCACACAGGTGTGTGTAAACCCTATACTTGTGAAAACGGACACTGCGTTGCATAAAAGTGTGTGTAATCCTCTACTGGTGAAAACGGACACTGTGGTAGCACAAAGGGGTGTGAATTCCTCTACTGTGAAGGTGGACACTGTGGTAGCACGAAGGCGTGTGTATTCCTCTACTCGCGAAAGTGCATACTGTGATAGCACAAAGGTGTGTGTATTCCTCTACTGGTGAAAGTGGACACTGTGGTAGCACGAAGGTGTGTGTAATCCTTTACTGGTGAAAGTGGACACTTAGGTAGTACAAAGGTGTGTGTAATCCTCTACTGGTGAAAACGGACACTGTGTTCACAAAGGTGTGTGTAATCCTCTACTGGTGAAAACGGACACTGTGGTAGCACGAAGGTGTGTGTAATCCTCTACTGGGGAAAATGGATACTGTGATAGCACGAAGGTGTGTGTAATCCTCTACTGGTGAAAGTGGACACTTTGGTAGTACAAAGGTGTGTTTAATCCTCTGCTGGTGAAAGTGGACACTGTGGTAGCACGAAGGTGTGTGTAATCCTCTTCTTGTGAAAACGGACACTGCGTTGCATAAAAGTGTGTGTAATCCTCTACTGGTGAAAACGGACACTGTGGTAGCACGAAGGTGTGTTTAATCCTCTACTTGTGAAAACGGACACTGCGTTGCATAAAAGTGTGTGTAATCCTCTACTGGTGAAAACGGACACTGTGGTAGCACGAAGGTGTGTGTAATCCTCTACTGGTGAAAACGGACACTGTGATAGCACGAAGGTGTGTGTAATCCTCTACTTGTGAAAACGGACACTGTGTTCATGAAGGTGTGTGTTATCCTCTACTGGTGAAAACGGACACTGTGTTCACAAAGGTGTGTGTAATCCTCTACTGGTGAAAGTGGACACTTAGGTAGTACAAAGGTGTGTTTAATCCTCTACTGGTGAAAATGGACACTGTGATAGCACGACGGTGTGTGTAATCCTCTACTTGTGAAAACGGACACTGTGTTCACAAAGGTGTGTGTTATCCTCTACTGGTGAAAACGGACACTGTGTTCACAAAGGTGTGTGTAATCCTCTACTGGTGAAAGTGGACACTTTGGTAGTACAAAGGTGTGTGTAATCCTCTACTGGTGAAAACGGACACTGTGTTCACAAAGGTGTGTGTAATCCTCTACTGGTGAAAACGGACACTGTGGTAGCACGAAGGTGTGTGTAATCCTCTTCTGGTGAAAACGGACACTGTGATAGCACGAAGGTGTGTTTAATCCTCTACTGGTGAAAGTGGACACTTTGGTAGTACAAAGGTGTGTTTAATCCTCTACTAGTGAAAATGGACACTGTGATAGCACGAAGGTGTGTGTAATCCTCTACTGGTGAAAATGGACACTGTGATAGCACGAAGGTGTGTGTATTCCTCTACTGGTGAAAGTGGACACTTTGGTGGTACAAAGGTGTGTTTAATCCTCTACTGGTGAAAATGGACACTGTGATAGCACGAAGGTGTGTGTAATCCTCTACTTGTGAAAACGGACACTGTGTTCACAAAGGTGTGTGTTATCCTCTACTGGTGAAAACGGACACTGTGGTAGCACGAAGGTGTGTGTAATCCTCTCCTGGTGAAAACGGACACTGTGGTAGCACGAAGGTGTGTGTAATCCTCTACTGGTGAAAGTGGAAACTGTGGCAGTACAAAGGTGTGTAATCCTCTACTTGTGAAAGTGGATACTGTGATAGCACGAAGGTGTGTGTAATCCTCTACTGGTGAAAACAGACACTGTGGTAGTACAAAGGTGTGTGTAATCCTCTACTGGTTAAAACGGACACTGCGTTCACAAAGGTGTGTGTAATCCTCTACTGGTGAAAACGGACACTGTGGTAGCACGAAGGTGTGTGTAATCCTCTACTGGTGAAAACGGACACTGTGATAGCACGAAGGTGTGTTTAATCCTCTACTGGTGAAAGTGGACACTGTGATAGCACGAAGGTGTGTGTAATCCTCTACTTGTGAAAACGGACACTGTGTTCACAAAGGTGTGTGTTATCCTCTACTGGTGAAAACGGACACTGTGGTAGCACGAAGGTGTGTGTAATCCTCTACTGGTGAAAACGGACACTGTGGTAGCACGAAGGTGTGTGTAATCCTCTACTGGTGAAAGTGGAAACTGTGGCAGTACAAAGGTGTGTAATCCTCTACTTGTGAAAGTGGATACTGTGATAGCACGAAGGTGTGTGTAATCCTCTACTGGTGAAAGTGGACACTGTGGTAGTACAAAGGTGTGTGTAATCCTCTACTGGTTAAAACGGACACTGCGTTCAGAAAGGTGTGTGTAATCCTCTCCTGGTGGAAACGGACACTGTGTTCACAAAGGTGTGTGTAATCCTCTGCTGGTGAAAGTGGACACTGTGGTAGCACGAAGGTGTGTGTAATCCTCTGCTGGTGAAAGTGGACACTATGGTAGCACGAAGGTGTGTGTAATCCTCTACTGGTGAAAGTGGACACTGTGGTAGCACGAAGGTGTGTTATCCTCTACTGGTGAAAACGGACACTGTGGTAGTACGAAGGTGTGTGTAATCCTCTACTGGTGAAAACGGACACTGTGGTAGCACGAAGGTGTGTGTAATCCTCTACTGGTGAAAGTGGACACTGTGGTAGCACAAAGGTGTGTGTAATCCTCTACTGGTGAAAGTGGACACTGTGGTAGCACGAAGGCGTGTTATCCTCTTCTGGTGAAAACGGACACTGTGGTAGCACGAAGGTGTGTGTAATCCTCTACTGGTGAAAACGGACACTGTGGTTGCACAAAGGTGTGTGTAATCCTCTACTGGTGAAAGTGGACACTGTGGTAGCACGAAGGTGTGTGTAATCCTCTACTGGTGAAAGTGGATACTGTGATAGCACGAAGGTGTGTGTAATCCTCTACTGGTGAAAGTGGACACTGTGATAGCACGAAGGTGTGTGTATTCCTCTACTTGTGAAAACGGACACTGTGGTAGCACGAAGGTGTGTTATCCTCTACTGGTGAAAACGGACACTGTGGTAGCACGAAGGTGTGTGTAATCCTCTACTGGTGAAAACGGACACTGTGGTAGCACGAAGGTGTGTGTAATCCTCTACTGGTGAAAGTGGATACTGTGATAGCACGAAGGTGTGTGTAATCCTCTACTGGTGAAAGTGGACACTGTGGTAGCACGAAGGTGTGTGTAATCCTCTACTGGTGAAAGTGGAAACTGTGGTAGAACAAAGGTGTGTGTAATCCTTTACTGGTGAAAACGGACACTGCGTTCAGAAAGGTGTGTGTAATCCTCTACTGGTGGAAATGGACACTGTGTTCACAAAGGTGTGTGTAATCCTCTACTGGTGAAACTGAACATTGTGCTGCACGAAGGTGTGTGTAATCCTCTACTAGTGAAAATGGACACTGTGATAGCACAAAGGTGTATGTTATCCTCTTCTACTGAATTTCGACACGGTGTAGCAGAACGTCGTGTGTAATCTACTGGTGCTAATCGACACCGTGGTAGCAAACCGATATTTGTAAATCTTCTACAAATGAAACTGGACACTGTGAGAGAACAAAGACATGTGTAAACCTCTATTTGTGAAAATAGACACTGGGGTAGCACAATTCCAAAGGTGTGTGTAAATCCTGTACCTGTGAAAACGGACGCTGTGGTAGCA